CCTAAAACCTAAATAATAGCTTCCATTTTCTTTTCCATTTTCCCTATATAACTCCAATAAACTCCTAATATTCTATCTACTTAAGGGGGATTATACTACTAAAGAAGCTGCCAGGATATTACCAGCTCAAAGTTGGTGGGCTTGCGCCGCTTTTTTGAGTCCACGACTGAGCACTCGGGGGCGTCGAAGTCACAGCTTAGAGTTCCCTAAGCCCTGTAAAGCCTATAGGGTTTAATTAGGATTCAGGGGTTTGGGATTTTGGATTTGAGGAAAAATTAGGGTTTGGGATTTAGGGATCTTGGGGTTTAGGGGTTTGGATTTGGGGAAAAGGGCTCTCAGATTCGGGGCTAAACGTTTAGGGCTGTTAGGGCTTCGGGATAAAGGTTTGGGGCTATGGGTTGACAGAGTTTCCGGGTTATATGGGGTTTCCATTTATCGGATGTCTCTAGGACACTTCCAGGCGGTTGCCAAACGGGTGTCCATATCTTCACTTGTAGTAGCCCCAACAGGACAAGCCAGAAGACCAGCACGGAAAATGAGCATCCTGAAATCCCGAAGTCCTAAACTTCGCAAAGCTCATCCCAGGCATTACAACCTGCCTGCAGTTTGCCGGGGGCCCAGAGGGACTCAGGAGGAGCCAGTGAGCAAAACCTCAAAAGGACGGTTCTGCGGAATTCCCGGATGTAGTCTCCAAATTAGGCTGAATAACCCATTACAGTAGTTTCCATTTTCTTTTCCATTATCCCTATAGAACCCCTATATAATCCTTGGGCCCGTATCTTGAAGTTTATGTACTTGTCTGAGCCCGAGGTGTCCGAATGTTTGGTTGCCGAGTGGAGCTGGTACAGATCAAATAGTGGAATAAGTAGGAATATAACCCCCCAAATGACTCAACATGATACCAGTTTCCATGTCATGTTCCATGTACTTTTCCTTTTGGTTCTCCATTATTGGGGTATTATCCCTTTGTAGCCCCAATATAACCCCAATATACGAATAAGTATTTTGGATGGTTGTTGGGGTGCACTGTGAGGCGGATTTGCTTACCTTCAACATCACCATCATCCCCATAACGTACTTGTGTAGATGGGCTTCAGATGATGGAATCGCCATGTCTTGTTACCGCGAGGTCTGTCGCTCTTTCGGAAGGCAGGGTGCTATGAAGAAACCTGTGCGCAGCTTCCGCCCTAAATCATATTCTTGAAGATGAATACATACACATCTGTAGATATGTGAATGCTGTATGCATGTAGGTTGTTTGCTTGAATGGCTGGATGTGGCAGTTAATGTTCAAAGAAAGGGCTACAAGCGATATACGCTGAAGTTGAACTCTTTCTTGGGATTGCTGATTGCCTTTGGGCCTGCATGATGCAGCGGCGACGTGTCAAGGGTTCCTCCTGGAAGACAACTGTCCATTTTCAATTGAACTGGCCCACGAAGACATGTCTACTTCTCTGAACCCCCCCCCCCAACCCGCAAAAGCATAGGTTAGCAAGACGTTGTAAATTCCCCAACCGCCTAGCCTGAACCCCCAAAAAACAAGCGGCAGGCGCTTTAGCCCTGCCCCTCAAACCCTCAACACCCAAAGCCTCACAGCCTGAAACCCTAAAAGCCCAAAAACTTTCAAACCGAATCCTAACCCCTAGAACCCCCTCGACCCAAAGACAGGGATCCACGATTTGGGGAAGCCTCCCTGGTTGGACAGGTTATGGAGCTGCAGCGCCCTGGGCATGGAAGTAGCCACGGCTTCGCTGATACAATGGGTATGGGTTTAGGATTTCGCGGTTAGGATTCAGGGGACGTGGTGTTGAATTTAGACTCTAATGTCGTGAGGTCTTGCGGGTTAGGGCTGAAGGTTTCGGAGGAAAGGGGAATCGCAAAATCTTGGGTTCCTGTGACTCGGGGCCGTTATTCTCAGAAGCACTTTGCACTTCTTCATCTTGAGAAGTCCCCGTATAAGTATCTTGGCGAACTAGGATGGTGCTTATAACTTATAACACTAGTACTCAATGCTGCTGACATCAGGCTTGCCATGCCAGGTACCAGTTGCGGATCCGAACCCGCCAGAGTCGGGGAACCGAGCGAACGCAAGCAGGGTCCTATGTAGCATCTTGAGAGATGTTGGGATGATTTCTCTTGTCTTTATTGTTATGTCAATGTGGCCCTTTTCAACAGGTATAGTGCTCGCTGGAACCTTGATGCTTCTGCTTCCGAAGTCCCTAGACAAACAACCAATCCAAATGTTGAAAGACTCTCGATTCTGAAGCCTAAGATCTCGACTGACGCGATGACATCTAAAGCATGTACTGCAACCCCTTGGTGACCGCTTTAGCTTCAAAGAGCCTGAAAAACGCTGGCCAGCACTCAAAGCCTCCCTTCACCTTTCAAGACCCGGGGCTGGTCCAACAGTAAGAGGGATTGCTGTACTGTCCTTAGGAATTTCTTTATCTTTATTATAGTATAACCCAAAGGAAATATTAAGAAAACTATTTTTCTTATAGGTCTAAAGAGATTTCAGACTGTCTGATAGCTCCCACAAAACATGAGGTCAAGCAAGCTTAGCCTCCCCGCCGCAGCCTGATCGGAAGAGTGATTGTGCGAGCTGCATCTGGACAATTCTGAAATACAGCCAGGAAAGCTGGTTTAGCCACTCCATATGCAGTGCTCGGTATATACCATTGCACGGTCACAATAATCCTTCCCCCTCATATCAAACGACGTCCCCTGCCTCAGTGTTTTTTTTTTAGTATCTGGGCGCCGAGAAATGAAGACAAGGGGGGATACTGGTTGAGAGAGTTAGGGCTGCCGCTGATTCCAAGTCTAAATTCAGTACCATCGAATGGGAATCTGATTAGGAGCCACTTAACATGACATCACTTGAAATCAAGTTGAAATCAGTGTAATTTCACACCCGAGCCAACCTAATTTTACTTCAACCCAATGAAGATCGAATTAAAATGAATCAGTTAAAATCGCAGTTAGACTAATTTTAGGTTCCTGTATGAAGACACAAGCATTTAAATATCAGGAAATGGAGGGGATGCCTAATTCCTTGTGATTACCTAGCATAACCCTCGACGTCCTTAGAACCCCAGAACTNNCCCCCCCCCCCGCTCCGGCGCCCCCAACAGCCCAACAGATTCACAATCAGGTGACCACTTTTAAAGTAGTCTTTCCCTTTTCTCATTGCTTTTCAAGACATTTTAGGCCCCTGGGCTTATTTGAACATTGGGGCAAAGGAAAAGCACGAATATCATGGTGCTTGCTTGTTGCATCAGGCGTCACGCCTCCCTCTGTCGCGTCCTGTACCCTTCCATGATTGCGGTGCAAATTTCATGATGCCAGGAATAATGTCAGTCTGGGTGGTTGCAGTCAGCCTTCCTACTCCTTCTATTGTCGTCATTACCCCCGCAAGGTCATCCGACAAATGACACAATGCTGGTGGCTGCATCATATCTTCCTACTCGTTCTGTACCCTTGCGTGGTCATGGTGTGGGTAACATCACCTACTTTTGCGTGGTCATAGCGCGGGTAAAATCACATGTGCAGTTGTGCACCACAACTCCTTACTCCCTCTGTCGTGTTGACGACCCTTGCATGTTCATGGTGCGAATGACGTTATAACTGCTGGTTGCATAGAACATCCCTATTCGCTCAGTGAACATCATGTTTTTTGTTCGGCCGTGGCCATGATAGGACTAATTTTTGCCGGGTTGTTGCATCAATGTGTCGTCATGTCATGAGTAACATCACGCTGCTGCATCAAACTTCCGTGATGTCAGCTACCCTTGCAAGGTCATGCTGGCGGTTGCATCAAACCTGACTACACCCTACGTAGTCTACACTATCCTGGAATGTTGGGGCAGTAGTAACATCATGCATGTGGTGGCATCAACCTTCATTACTCCCTCTGCACTGTTCACGACCCTCATGGTCATGGGTGCGTCAAACCTCCCTACCTCTTATGTGGTATGCGCTACCCTTGCGTGGCCATTGTGCGATGTTCAGCATGCCTTGTGTTTGCATGAATGTTCCCTGCTCCTTTTGTATGCAAGTGCTTCAGACCTAGCTCGCTTTGGTTGGCCTCGGCGTGAGTTTAAGTTTGGAAGAATATTCGCCGTACAGTGGTAGTAACCACTTCCCTATGCTGTGTATGACTTGTACCCCAAGCTGAGTGTGCTTTTCTGCCCCTGTACTACCGCAGTTTGCGTTGTGCACTTCCTACTGTGCACTTCTGTTTGGAATCTCGGTAGCAATGTCCTGGTCTATGAAAGACGGGAGAGGATGGCTCGGGTGGAAATTGGGCAGCTACTAGTGCCTTTGTTTTGGGCAAGGTTATTGCTAGCTCTTTCCAAAAAAGAACGCAGGCCCGTACACACAGTTGCGATGCTAACCCCGAGCACATGACTATCCCATCCCTTTTGTGGGTTGAAAGCCCGAAAGGCCCAACAACACTGCATGCCAGCCCCAAATTTGATCCTTAACCCCAAACCCTTTAAACCCTAAACCCCCAAATTGCCTAAACTCCACGGGATCGGAGCTTGCCGAGGGACGTGTCGCGATCGCCAAAAGTTGACAGGCCATGATCCCAGCAGCTTCTCTGTCATGGTCTAAGCTCCTTAAAGGGGGTTATATAGGGGATTATATAACCTCCTTTATCTAGGGTGTAGGGCTTAGGATCTGAACTGCGTATATACGGGATTATGTAGGGGACTATTGTAAGGGGTTATTAAGGGGGATACTAGGAGTTCAGATCGAGAAAATAAACCCTTCCCCAGTCAAGTTGAACCGCACCCATCCGCCGATGAAACCTTACCTCTAGGTTCGTGAGCCTGCTTAACAAATCTTATCGCAAGCAAGGTAACTGCCAATGGAGGTTTCCCGCATGGGCTTCGAGCCCTGCGCAGATTCAGTCAGCCTTCCATTTTTCAGAACACTACACTCTGAGGGGCTTAAACAGCGGAGCCTGAATTTGATCGCCCAGCTCTTGCGTGTCAAAGTCAAATTGATTGAAAAGGTGCTGAGACAACGATGAGAATCCAGTGGGCCCAAACAAGTCCAAAAGTCTCAAGTGTTGACAGTTCCAATTGAAAAACACCCTGAGTCCGGGCGGAGGGTAGGGGTGTCCGCATTACCCAGTAGAAGGATTCGAAAGGTTGACATGACATGGACAGCTTCCCCAACAAGCCCTGAGCACATTCGGGTTGTTATAGTAAGTAGTGAATGCTTGGGGATGCGCAGTGCAGTCATAGGACTTGCGCTAACTGTGGCATGTGTCATGCCGAAGGCTTCCAAGTGCGAACTGGTTTGATTTGAACATGTCGGACGTCAGTACATAGACTGAACTGGCCGGAAGCAGACTTCCCGCTCAAGCACACCGCCCTCCAACGAGTTGCCCAAGACCATGATGGAGCGCCGTCAAAGCAGAGACACGGGTGGTGCTGTAGCGCAGCTTTTTGGACACCGCACTGACGAGCAAGAGGCCAAACTGACAGGAAACGCGGGGGATGTGATGAATGCGGAGCCAGATTGCTGCGACAAGTACTGCTGCGAGTCTTGTCGAATCAGGCAGGAGGTGCTTCTTGCCAAAGCTGCTGGTCATGATCGCACTGACGCTTGCTTCCTGCATCCCAGCTTGCGTACTGGGATGCTTACTGACCCTTGTAAGCTATCTCTACACAGCTTGCGGTGGAAGTGAAGAAGGATGGCGGATGTTGATTTGGGGCCGAGACTGCCCGAGAGATGTGCCAGAGCAGTGCAATAGGGACGTTGCTGGGAAGGCAGAAGCAAAGCGCGGCAAAGGGCCATGGCCAAATCTTGTATCCGGCCATGGTTGGGAAGCACTTGTTGTTCTAACGCTTGCCTCTCAAAATTGCGCACGAGGGATTTTGGAAAACCAGAATAGTGACATTGCACGGTATGAATATGTTTGACTTAGCAGTTAAGTTGTGTCGTTTTGTGCATGGGTAGTGTTCGGAGCGGCCAAAAGCTCCTCGAATATTCTTTTAGTCGGCTTAGTTGCAAAGAATCTGACAACGTATGGACTTCTACCGGAGTCAACCTCGGCTGTTAGCTTCCGTGCAAGTTTTGTTTCCGCATGCTGAGGTTTACCACATTCGCAACAATCATCCCCTTTTTGGAATTTTCTTGTGCGAATACGGGCATCCATTCAGCCCGCTTGAGCGGGTTGGGCTGCTGCTCCTTCTGAACTCTTTTGCATATTACATGGCCGGCGTCGAGCAGAATCTGGTGAGCTCTTTCTCCCTTGTATCAGACTTCCGCGATGAACTGCCATGGTTTACAGGACAGTTTTACAACTTCCTGTGCATCACGCTACCCAGCTTGATCTTGGAAGCGAGTCTGAAATACTTTGCAGTGGCAAACTACAAGCGCCAGCTGAAGGATACCAAATATTTTGAGGAGAAGCAACGGGAGCGCTGCAGTACTTTCGCTGAGAGATTTTGTAGTGACTGGCACCTTGCAGGCTCAGAGCTCGAAGAAGAAAAGCATGAACAACAGAAGGGCGTCTTGGTCAGTGATGTTGGCCTCCTTTTTGTTTTCTGTTATGATTTAGAAAGACCGCTCCAATTGACATTGCGCTTTAGTTGGAACAGCAAAGCAGGTTTCGACTTGATGGACCTTTTGAAGCTGGCTGTGGGATGCGCCCATTGTTGTGTCGAAGCCTTCGAGAGCTGTTTAATAGGACATTTGGCACACCTTTTCTTCTCAATTGCCCTCACGGCCTCGATCATCTTCTTGGTCCTTGGAATTAACCAGGATGTTCAAAACAGAGGACAGCAGTGGTTGTCGATGGCCAGCAGCCTGACTCAGAATTTCTTGTGCATTTGGTTTCTACAGACTGGGGTGCTGTTCATGGGACGCTGGCATTATCAGCACTGGTCCCGAAAAAAACGCACCATTTGCGGTCACACAGTTCCCTTGCCAGAGCACATGCTTGAATTTCAGCTCTTCTTCAGGATGTTGGACACAAATAGAGATGGCAGGCTCGGCAGAGAGGAAGTTGCTGCTATGGTCAAGACAGTTTGCAGAATGAACCTTTCAGAAGAAGGATGGAAGGCTGTGCTGAACACTCTCGATAAGAACAACGATGGGAATCTTTCAGAGCTGGAACTCGAAGTCATGGCTTCTGAATTTGCAGTGAAGACTGGCTGGTGGACATCGAAACCACCTATGGATACCGAGTAAAGTGAAATTGAGACCAGGATGCGCGTGAGCAGATTTGTTTTGCTTCTGGCTGAGCCAGTAGGCAAGGCATCTGCTGACTCAAGATTCTGCTTGCAGGAACTGCGTGAAGAGCAGTTCCCCCACAAACAAGTTCACATGTGGGTAAGGGAAAAGAGCCTGAGATGGTTGTTTCCAAAGAAGGCTCGCACCAAGAGCACAGGCGCATCTTTGGAGATGTGAACACGTCTGAAGCTCTGAACCAAATTCAATGTGCTCCGAGTATTTGTCAGAAGAACCGGAGATGTTTATGATTGCCTCCAAAGGAGGACCAAGAGCACAGGCACATCTTTGGAGATGTGAACACGTCCGAAGCTCTGACTGAACCAAATGCAGTATGCTCCGGGTATTTGTCAGATGCAGTACCTGAATTTCCTGTTTGAGCCCATGGTACAGTGGGAGGTGGTAACCCCGGGCCCCTCCGACTTTTGTGCCTAGACCCTTACCCCCAAAACACCTTAAGCTGTCAGCCTGCATATAGGGATCTTATAGGGGTTATATGGGGATCATGGAAAAGAAGATGGAAGCTGCTAGTTAGGGTTTAGGTTTTAAGGTTTAGGGTATATTGTGATCTTATGTTATAATATACCCCGAAACACCTTAACCTGTCAGCCTGAACGCTTTGCCTGCTGGAGCCACGGATGAGGTCTAAAGCCCTGGAGAGCGAGGTGCACAGCTGGGAAGATTTCATCATGACAGTTGATCATGGGTTTAGTTGGAATTGAGGGTTCCAGGGCTTCGAGGTTAGGAAGGGATGAAGGGTGACGGTTTGAGAAGGGGTTTATGAAGGTCCGAAGACAATAGGAACCTTCCATAGCAAATTAGCAGCAAAACTTGGGGGGGGTGCGATGTAGTATCCGTG